CTTCTGTTTTCACTTTTCGTCAACGAGCATTCGTGTCTACTGCCGCCTGGATGCCGACTATTCTACGCTGACGATGTCAAAATGTATGTGGTTATCAATTGCATCGCTTATTGTGAGGACTTACATCTGATTGTGGATCGTATGCAGAGTTGGTGCTCCCGTAATTTCTTGACGCTCAGCATCAACAAGTGCAGCAAGTGCACAAGTGTGATATTTCACCTCAAACAAAACCCGATAATATTTGATTATTTCATTTCGGGGTAACCATTAGAGAAGATTAGCCAGTTCAAAGATTTGGGAGTAACACTCGACTGTGAATTGACCTTAAAACCGCACTACAATGACATCCTGACTAAAGCTAACAGGCAGCTTGGCTTTATGTTCTAAATATCTGAAGACTTTTGCGATCCGCTTTGCCTGCGGGCACTGTATTGTTCGTTAGTACGTTCAATCTTAGAGTATAGTGCTGTCGTCTGGTGCCCATACCAAGCATGCTGGATAGCCAGATTTGAGAGTATACATAGAAAGTTTGTTCGCTACGGGCTTCATCATCTGCCTTGGCGTGACACGGCTAACTTGCCGTCTTACGTGGATCGCTGTCGTCTGCTTGGAATTGACACCTTGGAACAAAGAAGGCCGCTCAAGCTGTGTTTGCTGCTATAATCATTACCAGCGAGATTGATTCCCCCGAATTACTTCGGCAGCTTTTCTTTTACGCACCTGAGAGAGTGATTAGGCAGCGTAATTTTGTACATCTCGCAGCTCGTAATCGGCAATATTGGTTGAATGAACCTATCCGAGCCGTCGCTAATGCGTTTAATGACGTCTATGCATTGTTTGACTTTAATGTGCCGTTAACTGTTTTTATTAGAAGACTGTCCTGAATTAGAATGTGTCCTGTTTTTGTTTTAATTCATTAAGACAACATATGTCAGATGAATCATTGGAACAATAAATAAATAAATAAATAAATAAATAATAATTATTAATTTAATAAATAAATAAATAAATAAATAAATAAATAAATAAATAAATAAATAAATAAATAAATAAAAAAATAAATAAATAAATAAATAAATAAATAAATAAATAAATAAATAAATAAATAAATAAATAAATAAATAAATAAATAAATAAATAAATAAATAAATAAATAAATAAATAAATAAATAAATAAATAAATAAATAAATAAATAAATAAATAAATAAATAAATAAATAAATAAATAAATAAATAAATAAATAAATAAATAAAAATATAAATAAATAAATAAATAAAAAAATAAATAAATAAATAAATAAATAAATAAATAAATAAATAAATAAATAAATAAATAAATAAATAAATAAATAAATAAATAAATAAATAAATAAATAAATAAATAAATAAATAAATAAATAAATAAATAAATAAATAAATAAATAAATAAATAAATAAATAAATAAATAAATAAATAAATAAATAAATAAATAAATAAATAAATAAATAAATAAATAAATAAATAAATAAATAAATAAATAAATAAATAAATAAATAAATAAATAAATAAATAAATAAATAAATAAATAAATAAATAAATAAATAAATAAATAAATAAATAAATAAATAAATAAATAAATAAATAAATAAATAAATAAATAAATAAATAAATAAATAAATAAATAAATAAATAAATAAATAAATAAATAAATAAATAAATAAATAAATAAATAAATAAATAAATAAATAAATAAATAAATAAATAAATAAATAAATAAATAAATAAATAAATAAATAAATAAATAAATAAATAAATAAATAAATAAATAAATAAATAAATAAATAAATAAATAAATAAATAAATAAATAAATAAATAAATAAATAAATAAATAAATAAATAAATAAATAAATAAATAAATAAATAAATAAATAAATAAATAAATAAATAAATAAATAAATAAATAAATAAATAAATAAATAAATAAATAAATAAATAAATAAATAAATAAATAAATAAATAAATAAATAAATAAATAAATAAATAAATAAATAAATAAATAAATAAATAAATAAATAAATAAATAAATAAATAAATAAATAAATAAATAAATAAATAAATAAATAAATAAATAAATAAATAAATAAATAAATAAATAAATAAATAAATAAATAAATAAATAAATAAATAAATAAATAAATAAATCAACCCGAAAAATTCCTAGACCGTAGTAGCGCCTTAATGAATTTAATTTATGGACGAATCCTTCGTCAGATGCGCCATTTTTAAACTACACACATCTCTCAAAACATCAGCTTTGTAGACTTTTTTGGCTTTTGCCTGAAAATCGCTCGTTTTTTTAACAAACTCTAAATAACCATTTGTTACGAAACTATTGAATGTAATATTTAGATGTTTTCTAAATGTTTCTTCATTTTTTGAGTACTTTATTTGACAGGTGCACATTTTTGCTTAAGAGGGATATACACTCAGATACAAAAATTACTTTTTATAGTTGGTTGGAAATGCTATCTAACATGAAGTTTTAGCACAAACAAAGTGACAGACGACTAACTGGTGAAGAAATCAATTAAAATAATGTGGTTCGCTGTAATAGAATTTTCTTAGAAGCTTGTGACATCAGCCACCAGATGGGCTAGTATTTTTGTTTTGATTTGAACATAGTTGATTTTGTGTGCAATATGATCTTTGACAGTGTGCAAAGAGTGTATCATTTTGTCATTTTTTATGCATTTCAGTTTAGAGTAGAGTGAAAGAGATAGAACCAAAACATTCTAGTACATTTAGTGTTGCCATGTGGTACAATCCATTAGTAGTGTTGCCATGTGGTACAATCCAGTAGTAGTGGTGTTGCCACTGGTACACTGAAAAATTGCAATAACAGGTGCGTCACCAAAGTTTTCGAGCCGCTCCGTCTGTCACTTCGTTTGTGGTTTTAGTGTGATAATTTATAAGCTAGAGAATGGTCTTTAGAAGAGGGTAGGTAGATAGTTCCGTTAGAGTACGGCAGTATGAAAATTGAATAGTATGTCTTCAAATCTAAAGGCAAAAAGTGTGCGCCCGCCTTTGCTCATTACTGTCTGCGGCTGTGGAATAGTTCTAGCGACGTTTCAGCCCCACGTTGCCGAAAGCATTTCCAGTCGATGGTGTGATGCAATTCTTCTTTACCCAACTATTGTGTTGCTCCTCTCGTCATGACCAACATGGTCATCTCAGAGAGAAAGCAGTAGGGTGGTTGTTGCGTGTTGTACCATCATCAGCATTGTTGAGGCTACTCCCGCCTTGAGTTATTCCCCATCGGCGCCGACTGGGATTGAACCCAGGCCTGCTGGGGTGAGAGGTAAAACGAAAAGATATGAGGTTATATGATATAGGAGAAATTGCTCTACTGTAAGCCTATGGATCTAAGATTGGGCCCATCACTAAAAATCTGCTATTTATCAATTTTATCTAGATGAACGCGTCATTGGGACGGTACTACTGGATATTTTGGTCGCTATTGAAAATTTGTTCGATTGCTAAATTTACGATTGGGCCCAAATTAGCGGCATTTACATCCATTTTTCTATTTCATTTTTGATAACGGCACAAAAGCTTTTGTAAACAAAAGTTTTAAGGCCCCTTACACGCGAACCGAAGAATGCACACGTAAACCAACAACATCATCGGGTATTGTATTGTATTGGTTTGCGTGGGCGCACTTCGGTTCGCGTGTAAAGGGTCTTACAACTTTTGTGTACAAAAGTTTTTGTGCCTTTATCAAATGTTACGCCTGATATGATCAATTAACTCAAAAGGGGTTTTTCCCATCATACCATTTTTCATTAAGGCGTCAAGCTGTATGAAAATTAAATTTTATAAATAAACAAATAATAAACTGTAAAGCCTAACATCATGCATGAAATGGAAATAGTGTCCGATATTTGCTCTCTAGAAAACTTGAATTGGCAGATCAAGTTTGCCATCCTTCCATTGAATTGTGGACGCTTATTGATAATTAATAACGTTTTCCAGGGTGAGAGTACAGCCACCCCAGTATTATGGGTCACCCACAATTATGGACTACTTCTATTTGATTAATAAGCAGAAGTGACTGGCCCATAATAGTTACTAGCTGGCCCAATATACCAGACATCGTATAATAATGTGCAGATAGTATCGTAAATTGCAACAGTTTAAGTCAACATCGCATATAAGAATAACATACATCGCATTATGTTTTAGTTAAAACGTATAGAATGCCAATTTCCGGCTTGTATGCTATTAATCATTTATCCATCGTACTGGAGCACAAGTTAAATTGGATTAAATCGTAGGTAAGACTTTTCAAATTAATTTTTTTATTACATGTTAAATTGTATTGCTATTGAAAATTTAGTCGATTGCTGAATTTATGTATGGGCCCAAATAAGGGGCATTTAGGCCGCAATTACATCCATTTCCCATATATGATGTCAAATCAACTCGTTTTAAAAATAAATTAAAATTTGCACGTCTATAGCCGCCACTTTTGAACGCTGCTATTTATCAATTTTATCTATGTTCTATGGGGTTGTACTAATGTATATTTTTGGTCGCTATTGAAAATTTAGTCGATTGCTGAATATATGTATGGGCCCAAATTAGGGACATTTAGGCCGACATTACGTGCATTTCCCCTATATCACATAAGCAGATTTGAATAAAGGTACATGCATTCTGGAAAAAAAATGTCTGGAATGTAAACAACTGAAATTACTTTTATCCAACTGCTTGCAACTGCAAAATGGAACGAGTTTCATTTTGACAAACCTTGCTATTGAAAAGGGAATGGTTATTTATGAGGTATTTGCATGTAAATCAAGCTTTGTGCCAAAAATTCACCAGTTTCAGTGCAAAGTGTACTTCTCACACAATAGCTACGTAATTATCGTCAGTGAGCAATCAATGATTACAACACCGATTGATGCGCTGAATTTTCATTTATCTCCTCTTTGTTAATTTGATTTTACATCCAAACAGGTTATATATGCAATGCTGTCGATCTCGAACTGGTTGACTCCATCGGTGCTGACGAAAATTGGACCAAAAATTGCTATGCTTCTGGGAGCATTCACTTACTGGTAAGTCATGCGGAAATAACCGTTTTCCTACATTCCCTTGTTTCATTCGATTATGCCGAGATCTTAAATAATGTTAGAGACTGTTTATTAACTACGTATACAGTATTTTAGGATTCTTTAAAGCAATTTTTATATCTGCAATAGGTTATTTTTTTTTATTTGCTTAAAAAAATAGGCAAAAACCGTTGTAACGTCGCGTAAAATTTGTACGGTTGGCAATTTGTTGGGTGCTGGCAATTATTCACGGCCCATACAAATTTAAAAAATATGTATGGACAATTTTAGATAGAGCTGGAATTAGGGCGTAACAGCTTTTACAAAAAAAAAAATACTTTTATTGATGATTTCTAGAAAGTTAAGGCTTTCCAGTGAAGAGTTACCTTACCTGGTGTCAGCGTAGGGCTCTAAACAGTGCTGTGCACGATGGTCCTCCGGCTAGACAATAGGGGTTGGTGCAGGCCCTACAAGCCAGCCGTAAAAAAATAAAATACAGGAAGCAATCAATGTAAATACGGATGTACTTACCTCTCAAATATTAGAAATGGAAACGGATTCGAAACTCAAATGTCATCAGCGAAAAACATCGTTCCACCATTGGTACCTTTGTATAATCTTAGAGGTAACTCTAAGACTAGTAGGTCCCGAAGAAACGTGCTCAACTTTTTGGTTCAGCTCTGGTAATATCTTCGGTCCCAAGCTAATCGATTCACCCCTCGAAACATAGGATAATCCACTAACCCCTCATTTTATCTATTAAACTTTCATAGCGAATCAAAACAAACATAGTGTAGTACTAGAATTCCGACAAGAATGGGATACGTTAATCGTTTGCTTGGGACCAATAGGCTAGTCAAGTAGTGAGCCAATTTCAAATCGATAGTTTCGTATTGATTGTTGGTATAATTGCGTGCGTCTCTTACAGATGATAAACACACACACATATTTACTTACCAAAATTAAATCGATTAAGAGATTTTCTTGAAATGCTCAGAGAATGAAAACTACTAATGAGTTATGATTTACAAAATTTGTTTTATTCAATTTTGTCTCCCATCCCGAATGCCCGCACCTTCCTTTTCACTCCACCAATCACATTTTGTACAAACGATTTTCTCAGTGTTTTTGCTGTTTTTACCCAAATTTTCTTCTACTCCAGCTCTGTTTTAATAATTTTCAGATGTCTGCGAAGTTCTGTCTTTATAATTGCCCAGATTTTTTCAATTGGATGAAGTTCCGGTGAATTTGGTGGGTTCATATCTTTTAGCACAAAATTTACTCCGTTGGCTCGGTACCACTCTAACACGTTTCGAGCGTAGTGGCAGGATGCTAGATCAGGCCAAAACAGAGTTGATCCTTTGTGCTTCCTTATGAATGGCAAGAGACGCTTCTTAAGGCACTTTTCGGTGTAAATTTCACCTTTGATTGTTCCGGAAGTGATGAAGGGAGCGCTTCTCGAGCAAAGTAAAATAACAACCTGCTATCATCTTGAAAACAAGTCTTATTATTTCAGATATCATTTTGTTTTCAGTTGTTATCGCATAACTAATTTAGTTATCAACATCAACTAATTTTGTTATTAGTCGTTATCATGAAATAATATGATATGATGCAAGGTTACTTTAAAACTGCAAATATTATCCGCATGGTAAGAAAAAGAACACACTGCCAAGCATGTTTCAGTTATCTGTGTAAGGCTTAAATACCAAATCGATAAAATAATTTGAAATTTGTTGAAAATATTTGCATGGATCACAGGATGTGTTATCAAGATGTTTTCAATGATAACTAAATCAGTAATTTTTGTGATATACACGGAGTAATTTTTTGTTTTAATTTGTGTTATGTTGGCTGCTTATTCAACCACAATGATAACATTTTCAGTTACCAAATCTTGATAACCAGGTATCAGAACTTGTTATCAATTTGGTATAATCCTTTGCTCGAGTTATTTCACCACATCCGCAAATCGGCTGCCAGATTAAGAACTTCTTTACAAATTTCGATAAATTCTTCTTTTGAACATCCTCCGGAACATCAAAATTAAACTTGGCAACGAAATATTCTTGCTCAGGAAGTTGACGGAAGTTGGCCTTGATGTAAGTTTTGTCATCCATCACGATGCAACACGATATGGTGAGCAACTTCGTGTAAAGTTTCGGGGCGCGGGTTTTTGCTGTGATGTTTTGCTTTTTATTCAGGTTTGGGGATTTTGCACCTTGTAAACATGTAACCCAGCACGCTTCATGGTTTTCTGCACACCTTGGACTTTTTAGCGACATCTCGAATTGACATGTTTGGACGGTTCTTGAGCTGTTGCACCACTTTCCTGGCCATGTCCATTGGACCACTTTTACGACCACTCCATTTCTTCCTTCGGGCACGGTTCGTATCACACGAGACACAGTTGTATTTGCAATTCCGAGCTTTTTAACGATCAATCGGTGGGACGCCTCTGGATTTTGATTGTAAGTTCACAACGTTTTTTCACGGACAATTTCTTGTTTCGACGACATAACTGGAACTACCGTATGAATAACTGTAGATAGAGCGGGAATTAGGGTGTAAAAGCTTTTGTAAACAATGATTTCTCGAAAGTCATGGCTCACCATGGTAAATCAACTTCCCCTGCCCGATGGATATGTTGGTTTGTGTAGGTGTGCCTTGAATTCCTAGAAATCTACGCGAGAAGCCATTGTTTGCAAAAGCTGTTACGCCCTCATTCCAGCTCTATCTAGAACTATGAAACTTGACAGATGAAAACAATACGCTATCAATAAAATTTACTCAATAGAGATTGCTGACTGATGAAATAAATCGAAGCAACCCTTGACTGTCTGTTACTACGAAGGAAAAATAAATTCTTTCACTTGTGATTTACCCGTACAAGATAACACACGCGTTTTACTTTTACTCTGCTGCCCATTAGGTTATGGGCCCAGATAGTTTTGCAGAATGCAATGTAGAATCCTCAAGCGAACCCTGGAGGAAATGGATCCGGAGACCCGGCTAGAACTCTAACGCGTGCAGCCACACAGAATTATTCCACACAGAACCATCCGGCGATTGAGCGGTTGGTTGGTCGTGAAAACTGGAGAACTTGGAAGTTTGCAGTGAAGACTTTTCTGGAAGTGGAAGACCTTTGGGACGTGGTGCAGCCTACCCCGAATGACGACGGAACTTTTCCTGAGGTGGATGCGTGAAAGGACAGGATTGCACGAGGTAAAATTATTTTGCTGATCGATCCGGTGAATTATATTCACGTCGAGGAGGTGAAAACGGCAGCGGAAGTGTGGAAAAAGCTGACCAATACCTTCGAAGACACGGGACTGACACGACAGTGGGCCTTTCTACACAAGCTTATCACGACGAATTTGAACAATTGCGGTACAATGGAACCGTACGTAAATCGGATGGTTTCAACAGCGCATCAGCTAATTGGAATCGGATTCCCGTTGGATGACAAATGGATCGGGATGCTGCTACTGGCTGGCTTGCCCCAGGAGTATTGTCCGATGGTGATGGGCCTTGAAAATTCGGGAATCGAAATCACGGGTGACATCATCAAAACCAAGTAGCTCCAGGAGACGGATTTGTCAGCGCCTACTACGGGACCGGCGTTTATTTCTGCAAGAAAAAACTCAAATAGTTACCAAAGCAACGCAACCACAAATTCGAAAGGCAAAGGACCGAAATGCCGGCGGTGTGAGAAATGTGGTCACATTGCGAAGAATTGTCAAACCAGGACCAGGGATCAAGAACCATCGAAACGAAGCGGATCGGATCGGAAAGGAGACGCCTTTTGCACAGTGTTGTCAGTGCAAGACGCGGCAACGGACAACAGTTGGTATTTCGATTCGGGCTCTGCCAAGCATCTCACCAACAACAAAGAACTGTTGGAGAACCTACGTGAAGTGAATGGTAGTATCTACGCGGCAAACAAGGGCGTGATGAAAATCGTTGCGGAAGGATCTACCAAGCTACAGCCCACCTGCAATCCCGATGCGATAGAAGTGCGAAATGTCGAGCTGATTCCGGAGCTGGCAGTAAACCTACTGTCAGTAGGTAAGATAGTTGACCAAGGCCACACTGTTGTTTTCAGAAAGACTGGTTGCGAGGTGGTGAATCCCAGCGGAAAGGTTATTGCTACCGGATGCCGTTCCAATGAGCTATACAAGCTGGAGCAGAAGAGCTCCCAGGCGTATGCGTCCTAATGGGCAGCAGAGTGTAGTTAACTACGATGGCACGGACTGCAGAGGCTGCAAAATTTGTGCCGTCGGGAAGCAAACGAGATTGCCATTCAACCACGTTGGTTCACGGGCCAATGAAGAACTGGAGCTGGTCCACTCGGACATTTGCGGTCCGATGGAAGAAATACCGTTGGGAGGAGCCCGTTATTACTTGTCGTTAACCGACGATAAGACTCGAAAAAATTTCGTCTACTTTTTACGCACTAAATCGCAGGAGGATGTGCTACAAAAGTTCAAGGAATTCCATAGCATGGTCGAGAGACAGAGTGGCAAGAAGTTGAAGGTGCTTAGGACGGATAATGGCTGGGAGTTCAAGAACAGAAGCTTCGAAAACTTCCTGAAGCAGTTAGGAATCCGTCACCAAACTTCAGCGGAGTACACCCCCGAGCAGAACGGCCTTGCCGAGCGTGTCAACCGGACGGTAGTGGAGCGAGCGAGGTGCATGCTGTACGAAGCGAAGCTGCCAAAATCGTTTTGGGCAGAAGCCGTAGCAGCAGCAGTCTACCTCATCAATAGATCGCCAACCAAGGGTATTGATACGACACCAGAGGAAGCGTGGACGAAACGAATGCCGAATCTTTTCCACATTAGAATATTTGGTATGACTGTGATGGCGCACGTGCCGTAGCAAAAGCGGCAAAAGTGGGACCAAAAGGCTGAACAGTGCGTGTTGACTGGGTACGACGACGAAACGAAAGCGTACCGCTTGTACAATCTGAAGACAGCCACAATCTTCAGAAGTCGTGACGTAAC